AATTCTTGACTCTTTTACGTCAGAACAAAACCTAATTTAGACCTCATGCATGTGATTGCCTAGGATCCTTCATTTAAAATTAGGTATAACCCAATCCAGTGCTGGAAGTTGAAGCTAGACAAAGTCAGATTGGAAATAAGGCATACATTTTTAGTGGTGAGAGTAATTAATCATTAGAATAACTTACCAAGGGTTGTGGTGGATTCATAGAATCATAGAATCATAGAATATCAGGGTTGGAAGGGACCTCAGGAGGTCATCTGGTCCAACCCCCTGCTCAAAGCCGGACCAATCCCCAATTAAATCATCCCAGCCAGGGCTTTGTCAAGCCTGACCTTAAAAACCTCTAAGGAAGGAGATTCTACCACCTCCCTAGGTAACGCATTCCAGTGTTTCACCACCCTCTTAGTGAAAAAGTTTTTCCTAATATCCAACCTAAACCTCCCCCACTGCAACTTGAGACCATTACTCCTTGTCCTGTCCTCTTCTACCACTGAGAATAGTCTAGAACCATCCTCTCTGGAACCACCTCTCAGGTAGTTGAAAGCAGCTATCAAATCCCCCCTCATTCTTCTCTTCTGCAGACTAAACAATCCCAGTTCCCTCAGCCTCTCCTCATAAGTCATGTGTTCCAGACCCCTAATCATTTTTGTTGCCCTTCGCTGGACTCTCTCCAATTTATCCACATCCTTCTTGTAGTGTGGGGCCCAAAACTGGACACAGTACTCCAGATGAGGCCTCACCAATGTCGAATAGAGGGGAACGATCACGTCCCTCCATCTGCTCGCTATGCCCCTATTTATACATCCCAAAATGCCATTGGCCTTCTTGGCAACAAGGGCACACTGCTGACTCATATCCAGCTTCTCGTCCACTGTCACCCCTAGGTCCTTTTCTGCAGAACTGCTACCTAGCCATTCGGTCCCTAGTCTGTAGCTGTGCATTGGGTTCTTCCGTCCTAAGTGCAGGACTCTGCACTTATCCTTATTGAACATTATCAGATTTCTTTTGGCCCAATCCTCCAATTTGTCTAGGTCCCTCTTTATCCTATCCCTGCCCTCCAGCGTATCTACCACTCCTCCCAGTTTAGTATCATCCGCAAATTTGCTGAGAGTGCAATCCACACCATCCTCCAAATCATTTATGAAGATATTGAACAAAACCGGCTCCAGGACCGACCCTTGGGGCACTCCACTTGACACCAGCTGCCAACTAGACATGGAGCCATTGATCACTACCCATTGAGCCCGACAATCAAGCCAACTTTCTATCCACCTTATAGTGCATTCATCCAGCCCATACTTCTTTAACTTGATGACAAGAATACTGTGGGAGACCGTGTCAAAAGCTTTGCTAAAGTCAAGAAACAATACATCCACTGCTTTCCCTTCATCCACAGAACCAGTAATCTCATCATAGAAGGCGATTAGATTAGTCAGGCATGACCTTCCCTTGGTGAAACCATGCTGACTGTTCCTGATCACTTTCCTCTCATATAAGTGCTTCAGGATTGATTCTTTGAGGACCTGCTCCATGATTTTTCCGGGGACTGAGGTGACGCTGACTGGCCTGTAGTTCCCAGGATCCTCCTTCTTCCCTTTTTTAAAGATTGGCACTACATTAGCCTTTTTCCAGTCATCCGGGACTTCCCCCGTTCGCCATGAGTTTTCAAAGATAATGGCCAATGGCTCTGCAATCACAGCCGCCAATTCCTTTAGCACTCTCGGATGCAACTCGTCCGGCCCCATGGACTTGTGCACGTCCAGCTTTTCTAAATAGTCCCTAACCACCTCTTTCTCCACAGAGGGCTGGCCATCTATTCCCCATGTTGTGATGCCCAGCGCAGCAGTCTGGGAGCTGACCTTGTTAGTGAAGACAGAGGCAAAAAAAGCATTGAGTACATTAGCTTTTTCCACATCCTCTTTCACTAGGTTGCCTCCCTCATTCAGTAAGGGGCCCACATTTTCCTTGGCTTTCTTCTTGTTGCCAACATACCTGAAGAAACCCTTCTTGTTACTCTTGACATCTCTCGCTAGCTGCAGCTCCAGGTGCGATTTGGCCCTCCTGATTTCATTCCTACATGCCCGAGCAATATTTTTATACTCTTTCCCTGGTCATATATCCAACCTTCCACTTCTTGTAAGCTTCTTTTTTATGTTTAAGATCCGCTAGGATTTCACCCTTAAGCCAAGCTGGTCACCTGCCATATTTACTATTCTTTCGACACATCGGGATGTAACCTCAACAGGGATTCCTTGAAATACAGCCAGCTCTCCTGGACTCCTTTCCCCTTCATGTTAGTCCCCCAGGGGATCCTACCCATCCGTTCCCTGAGGGAGTCGAAGTCTGCTTTCCTGAAGTCCAGGGTCCGTATCCTGCTGCTTACCTTTCTTCCCTGTGTCAGGATCCTGAACTCAACCAACTCATGGTCACTGCATCCCAGATTCCCATCCACTTTTGCTTCCCTCACTAATTCTACCCGGTTTGTGAGCAGCAGGTCAAGAAAAGCTCCCCCCCAGTTGGCTCCTCTAGCACTTGTACCAGGAAATTGTCCACTACGCTTTCCAAAAACTTCCTGGATTTTCTATGCACCGCTGTATTGCTCTCCCAGCAGATATCAGGAAAATTAAAGTCACCCATGAGAACCAGGGTGTGCAATCTAGTAGCTTCTGTGACTGTCCATCACTGATGATTTTTAAACCAAAATTAGATGTTTTTCTGAAAGATCTGCTCCAGGAATTATTTTGGGGAAGTTCTATGGCCTGGGAAATACTGGAGGTCAAACTAGACGATCACAATGGTCCCTTCTGGCCTTAGACTCTGTAACCTTCGTAGGAGTTACTGCTTCAGCATTTGCTATTGCTTCTTATTTAAGTACTTGTTGGTACATGTGTGTCTCACTTTGATGCACCAAGAACTGTCGTGTTTGCAGTCTGCTCTTCATGGCTATGCCTGCTAGGATTGCATATAGTTGTGTGTCTACTTTTACATGAGCATTTACTGTAAATGGCCATTAGACATGCAAACTACTAGTTAAACAATAATCAAAAGTAATGGAAATAAAGGAAATCTCACAAGCAAACCTGTTCTTAAGAGATTTGCAGCCAAATTTTACAAATGTCAGTGGTGTTGATATTTTATAATGTTTGCTAATACATCATATTTGTATAGTGTCTAGCACAATGGGGTTCTACTTCATTGTTGCCTTTAGCCACAATATAAATGTTGTAACAACAACATAAATGTTAAGTAACAATTATACCAATCTTAAAACATGATTGCTTTACAAAATTAATCCTTTGAACTTCTTAAGTGTTTGGGTCAAATTCTCAAATCATTGACAATTTACACTATCTGAGTATTTGTCTTGTTACATTCAAACAAGGAGATGATCGTTACTTAGCGGTAATATACACAAATATGGACTTTATTAACAAGGGGAAAATTAAATAAAACAAATGATCCAATATCGAATATCATACACGCAAAATATGCCTGTGTTCAAGATTTCTTGTTTGGTCATCCATATGAATATTTTGTGGGTATAATCTTACGCACCAGTGTTGGACAATTGGGCATACATAATAACACTATAATAATCATCATAATAATACACCTTATCCTTACATAACACCTTTCATTGCAAAGTGCATCAACAAAACCCAATTATTTGAGTCTTACAACATGTCTGTGAAGGACTATTGTACATATTGCACAGAGAAATGAAATGACTTTGTGTAGACCACACACAGAGATCCCTGGTAGAGCCAGGGATAGAGCCTAAAAGTCTTGGCTTCCAGTCCCATGAACTAACCATTGGATCACACTTCCTGGCTATAAATTCATGTCATGTTTCTTCAGCTGAAATACTGTAAACTTGTGCACTAACAAACTCAGTGATAATGTATGGTGTATAAACTAATGATGAGTCCTCTTTTGAAAGTGTTTCCATTCCCCATGTCCTGTGAATATTCCACATCTTGTTTATGAAATCACAAAATAATTTGAGGGGTCTTGTCTTACCGAGTGCCCAAAATTTCCTACTCCTGGAAACACATTCAGCCTGACATTGAACGTGCTCCAATCTCTAGCCCCCTAATATCTGACTGCTGGCTGCTAGCCACTGGCTGCTGCTGCTGTTACATTCTTCATGGCCTCAGTATTGTGCCCTCAGCTTTGCAGTATGAGTGGCTGAACCATCCTGTGCCTAAATAATTCCAATTTATATGCTGTTAAATCTGAAACAGATGGTTCCCTGGCCCTCTTTCATGCTCTTAATCATGCTGTTTCTGTAGTTTCTCAGAGATAGAAGTTCAGGTAACTGACGTATTTGTTAGTTAAAAGCTTTATTGATCCTTGCTTTGGAACTTGTAGGTGTGTGAGAAAGAGAGGGACAGAGAAAGCCAGAGCAAGAGAGTGAGTGAAAAGGAGCAGGGCTTTGAGTGTCTGTTGCACTCCACAATGAATGAACTAAATACTTCTCTTTTATGCTGCTGCTTGCATGCCCTGTAAGCTCACTAATACAGATCAGTGACAAACCGTTCTTTAAAGGCATTCCCATGGACTGTTCTGAGCACTAACTTTGTATGCTGCATTGTATGTTGTCTGAGTTACCAGATCTACCTTATACTCAGTCATTGCCTATATAAATTGTATTTCCTGTTACTTGAATACTGATGTTTTAAAACAAAACATATACACCTCCCATTATCACCATAAAATAATATTAAGAAATCAAGATGAATTTAATCAAATGAGGCTGGGGGGAAAACTGTAAGAGAAAAGGTAAGAAGTACTGAGAAAAAAGAGGTTTGTCTTTTGCCTCTTTGTTGTATAGCAGCAGTGGGTGTGATACAATATCTTAACCACCTACATTAAAAAGATGCCACCCAATCATTGTGTGTTCTGTGCAAAACTCATCCCCTCCCATTTTGGCTAGGAAGAGACTTAGAGACTGCCCTTTCTGGATCATACAGTCTGTAATATATAAAAGCTGTTAGTAGCTCCTGTAGCCAGCAGCTTCAAAACTAGCAGAGTTTTGTTCTTTGAGGGTTTGTAACAAGACACAGTCCTCATTATAAGAGTTCACACTACAGCATACGAAAGAGCTGTATAAATTGGGATCACAGTGTACTGTATTGATTTTTGGTATTACACAGAGGTAAGCCATTCAGCTCAATAAGTTTGCTTTGCATGCATTTTTATTACGGTTCATCACTTTTTGCTGGAGTGAGATTTGAATATTATTACTAAGCTGTCCTATTTTCATGCTTTTTATGTTCTTTGCCTGTTAGTTTGTATGTGAGGCATTATCAGAACCATGAGTGCAAGCAGTAAAAGACATGCCCTGGAATGTATTTTTCATCCCCAGTAAATAAAATTCTGTGAGATTCCTTGCAGTCTGCCCAGTTAGAACAAGGGGTATGGTGTGTAGTAAAAAACGGATGGTGTGTATTAGTACAGTCAGTGTGCAGAATGTGTATCTGTAATTATGGCAGTCCATATATGATGGCATTTTATTTGACCTTAGTTTTTAAACCTTCATATGAATGTTCACTTTCATACACTGTGTTATGAAGGAATAGTTCTAGATTGCTTTGTATCAGAGATTTAACAAGTTGGGGAGGGACTTTTGATCTTAGGGGGAAAAAAGTTTCCTTTTTTCTATCAAGCCATAAATTTGTGTATAGAATCACATCTTTTGACACCTTTTTTCCACAGATCTGCTCTCTGCTCTCCTGCCTTAAAGCTGAGCAACCCTGTGGCCTATCTTCCTCCCTTGGCCCTAAAATGACAGTAATCTCTGCAATCAGTTGTGCCTTCTTATTTTTCATTCTATGTGAAACAAGTGCAATAGCATTACCCAATTCCACTGACCTATTCCTCTCAAACAAAAATTTCACTGACATTGAAGCAGCTTTGGCAGCTCACTTGGACTCTGAAAAGATCCCCAAAGTCAGGAGGAAGCGATACATTTCACAGAATGACATGATTGCCATCCTTGATTATCATAATCAAGTCCGAGGCAAAGTCTTTCCACCTGCTTCAAACATGGAGTATATGGTAAGTGGTTTTTCGTTTACTTCTGAGAGGGGAATAACATTTCATGAGACCTGCTGGAAAATATAAGAGACTATAAATCAGTGATTTCATTTTCCAGAGCCAAGCCAACATTTTTTAGTTCAGTAAACAAATGATTTGTAACCACTGCATGGCTTTACTATAACATGTTTTTTTTTTAGCTGAAGTATTGTAATGAATAATAATAAGAGCTAAGAGCCAAATTGTGAACCCTTTACTCACCCTGGTGAACATTTACTCTCACAAGTAGTTCCAATAAAGTCAATGGGACTTGAGTCAATAGGGTTACTCATGTTAGTCACTGCTCATGAGGGTAAGTAAGGGGTATACAATCTGCTTTTAAATAATTAGCATCTAAACCAAGTGATTAAGATCCTAATTATTAATAGTTCAGTTACTGAATTACTAGGGAGAACACTAAGTCCTAACACTGGTGTATTTTTTAAAAAAATTCATCCCATGAACATTGCTAGTCTCTTCCACATATATTATTTGCAGAGATTGATTTGTCTGGTGATCATGGTTTTCATTTTGCATGCATATTTTATATTCATATAATGGTTTTATTTCTCTGACAGATACAGTACTTGTTTAAATTTTTTCTCTAAACATGTTGGATTTACTCAGAAATCAGTGTGCATGATATCCCTAGGTATTTTTTCCTTTTATTGGCTAAAGTTCTTCCTGGGAAATATCTTTTCCTACAGTATATTAACTGAACACACTAGTTATTTCCTCATTATGATTTCATGCTTTGTCATTGAAATGACTGGTCAGCCAGTGTATTTGTAATATGTGTTTCAACTTTCAATGCATGCATACTTTACTACTCTAATGTAAAAAATAGGCCAGTTAAGCAGAAGTCCTTTTACTTACTAAGTAAAGAATTCACATTGTTTTTAAAGGGCAGTCAAATTTTGTTTATGGAGTATAATATTCGCTTAAAGACACAGGAGCATCTCAGATGACAACAGCTGGTTAACAGATTTAAGAAACATGACACCACTAACATGACATGCAGAAAAGGGGATGATGGTAGTAAAAACAAACTCCTCCTCCTTAGTAGCTAATGATTAACAATTTGGACTTCTCTCTGTCACAGATGTTACCTAAATCTGGGTTTGATCATGCAACATGCTGAGTATCTCCCAAGGGCACCTCAGAGAACTGAGATTGTGCCAAACCTTGCAGCATCAGGCTTGTGTCTCTGATGGAGATTGAGTTTGACGTTTGGTTAAGTGGAAAGGTCAAAGGCAGAAAAAAATAAGAAGGTCAAAAGTCAAGCTCAATCAGCCTTTTAATTATTGAATTCTGTGACTGATGTGTTTCTATTGATTCTGTATAAATAAACATCACTGTGATGTCTGGGAGAAGGGCCGTCTAGCCTCACCCTCCCTTTGCCTTGTGTCTTTTGGAAATGTACTGTGCAATTGACTACAATGAAACCAGCTGAAATTCGCTTCAAAAGCAATGTCAGGAAAAAAAATCATATTCTCATGGGGGTTTTGTAAAAGAATCATTCACAAGACAAAAGTAAAGAAATTGTGAAGAGCAGGAAAGAGGAGGATGGCTCTATTCATTTAATTTATTTGGGTGAATTAACACCTTTCAGAAACTGCTAGGCCTTCATTGCATATTGCTGGGCATTCTGCTGGGCTTCACCCCGAAGTGGTGACCTTTAGAGCTGACAGGTCTGACAAAGAAGCAAGATCCTGCCATTGGCAATAGGGGTGAAATTCATGACAAGCTACATTTTACTCCTTTTCTTGCCCTCCTCACCTAGAATATCTTGCAACCAGCCATCCAGCAGTTGTATCTATGCTGCTTTCAGCATCAGCCAGTTCAGTAGCCACCAAGACAAAATCTAGGCCTCCTCTGAAGCACTGCTTCCTGTTTTAATTAGTCAGCAGGGGTCACAGTGGCAGCGATGTGTTCCATTGTTTCCTCTTTCAGAGTTCAGAGAACTTGGGCAAAAGGACTAGAGATCACAATTCAGTTAGATCTGCAAGTTGTAGCTCAAGACACTACCAATAATTCACCTAGCTGCCCACTCACCCAACAGCATTCTATTGGAGTCTTATGGAAAGGTTGGATTCCATTGTGAGGCCTCCATGTAATTTCTTCATGAAATTTCAGTATGTATAATTTCATCAGCAATGTGCTGTTGGGAACATCAGGTCTCTGTTACATTTATGAGGTTATGATATTCAATATCCATTCCTACATACAATATTTGGGACATATTGTCATTGCCAATAGACCAAATGTATCATGCTGAACATTCACAGAATTATGTCATCCTACCCTGAGGCCCCTGCAAAAGGGCACAGCTAGTTGTGAAACTGGTCTTCCTAAATCATTGTCTTAGTCACCTTAAGATAAGGGAAAAGCAGGTCAGATGCAGGAGAACTTTGAAATACCTGAGGATGCTGTTTCAGTGCATTGAGTAGACATCTTGGTGAGGCAAGCTGAAAGTGGATCATTTCATATAGTACATCAAAATAGGGATGGGCAAACTGATTTGGAAAAAAAAACCCCAAAAATATGTTGTTTCTCCTTGTTTTTTCCCCACTGTCCAAACAAATCACATTCTGCTCTTTCCCCCTGATTGCATCCTTTTTTTCCTCATAAAGGCCCTATATTCTTATTCCTTTCCACTTTCTCAGTCCCTTCTACTGATAAGGGTTTAGGATTTAACACAGGACCCCATACTCAATTCTCATACCCCATCAATTCTCTGCTCCTCCCCCCATGCATGCTTGTCTCCTTTAACATCTTCTGACCCCAAGTCTGTTCTGCCTCCCGTGCAATCTCTACATTTAGTAATACTTTGAATCCATTGGGCTTTATGTCATCTGCTGTGCTGAGACACCTGTTGTCTTAAATTCTTACATGTTACAGGGCTTCTCTTGGCTATACTCCTGATATGAGGAAAGGCCAAGAATGCACAAGATTTGTATACGGTAGCCAGCTAACTTATTGCCAGACCTCTTGAGATTCCATGACACATTTAGTTTGATAGCCAAATTGATAAGGACAATGGGATATATTTTTATTGTTGCCATGCATCAGTCTCAGACATATAAAAGTAAAACACATACATTCTGGTCCTAACATTTTTATTTGGATTTTGCACTGGCAAACACGAAAGGTTTGTGTTATCTGACATTATTATTTGAGACCTGGTTTTCCTCTGCTTATATGGGTTTTACACAAGTGTAACTCCATTGATTTCAAGTGAGTTACTCTTGTTTTACACCAGGGAAAGCAATAAAAGAATCAGACCTATTGTATTAAGCAATATCTGATGCAGAGTGTTAAAGAGAGAGATAAGGTGTGTGAGGTAATATTTTTTATTGGACCAACTTCTGTTGGTGAGAGAGACAAGGTTTCAAGCTCCACAGAGCTGATTTTCAGGTCTATATAGCTCAATAGCTTGTCTCTTTCATCAACAGAAGTTGGTGCAATAAAAGATATTTCCTCACCTACCTTGTCTCTCTCATATCCTGGGACCAACATGGCTACAGCAACACTGCAAACAGATGATTAAAATCAGTTAATCTATTTGGGCCCAGTTCTGATTCTACTGGTAAACATACATTCCTTTGCTTAGGAGAGACCTGTTTCACAACTTTTGCCTACTCAGGACTGTGTGCATTTGAACATGTGCTAACAATATCATACAGGGGAAATTCATAACTTTGCCTATAATGTTGCTACATACATTTCACCGTGATATTATTGACCCGCAAGTTATTAGTTTCCAACTGATATCTCACCCAGTGTGTATTTAGAAAGCATCTTCAGGTTCACCAAGAGCTGTATTGAGCTCCCAAATTCATTTCACAGAATGCCATAAGTATCCATTGAATGGTCATAACTTTCAAATACTATTAGTTGGATTAAAACTAGAGAGCTAAAGGTGAAAGTCTCTGTGTAAACATTCCTAGCCATCCAGTTACTCTTGAAGATGCTTTTGAAGTACACACTGGGTGGTGGATAGGTCAAGTAAATTGAAGCAATTTTGCTTACCATTCCAAGCACCTTAAAGAGGCTTATTTGACACCTGAAAACCTTTCATCATAAAACAACAAAGTGAGATTAGTTGGTTTGTCCTACAGCACTCTGGCACTGCTGATAAAATGCCTTGTTGTTTATATAGTTTGGCACATTAGCATTATGCAACTAGTACTGCTGCAGGTGTCAATGTACTAGTTTCTTTTCTTCTTTCATATATTTCAGAAGATGTTTTGTTTCTTGAGCTGTTTGCCTTTGCTCATGTGCATGATCCCATTGAAATCAACTATGCTTGTAAGGATTGTAGGATAAACTCCCTTAAGAGTCATATATAATGGGTTGGCCAGGATCTCTTAGTTCATACAGTCTGTCCCAACCCCTTGCAGAACTGTCATCTTCATTAAACACATATGGCAGTCTACTCTTGAACATGCATAGTGATGATGTCTCAGTAACATCTCTTAGCAAATAATTTGCCTTAGTATAACCTGTGAAATGTTTTTGGCTGAACATCATGAAATAAGAAAAAGAAATAGGGGCTACATTAGCATTAGAAATGATTTCCAAATGACTAACCTAAATATTTCCTTTGGAAGTTGAGATTATTACTCTTTATGTACTGTTTGTAACCATCTAATCAAATGTATCTCCCTGTTCCATTTCATATCATTACCTCTCAAGTATTTACAGAAAGTTGTCTTCTTTGCATCATTTCTCTAGGTTGTATGATACATATCAAATGTCTTTAATCTCTTTGCATAGGTTATGTCCTACCATGTTTTTATTGATAATACATGTAAATTACAGTTACATCCACTTTAAGGCTCCTTTACCAGAGCAGTGAAAGGCAGCATTTGTGTAAATGAAAATTAGGCCCAATAATTTTAATTGGTGGATTGCTAACTACCTCAATAGTACCAACACAGGAATAACATACAGTGGACTTTGTTCAAGAAGTTATGTCT